CCATTTCCCTACTTTTCATCTCTAGTTAAGAAAACTGGGCAGAAAACAACCAGACCATCTAGGGAAGACAAAGGTAGAGGCTACGGGGAAAAGCAGTAAATAACTCTAAGAAGAAATTAAGGCAACTTAAAAGTGACTTGGGGGCAACAAATCAAGATGTATTTAATCATCCTACTATCATTGAAGGTGATAGTGTTTTACAGTAGTGTATATCTTCCTCCAACTCTTTGCTCACATGTACATTGTATTAGATTGTAATCTAAACATTCACAGTTGGTGTTGCTTGCTCCATCTTGACTGCACGGTCCTATTGTTCTACCCCTTGCACTCATTCCCCAAAGCTACTTTTGAAGATCAAGGGGAATGCCCTTCAAAACAGCATTCTGTATGAGTTCTATTTGTAAGGTGGGACAATTTTTGGTACAAAATGTGAATCTCTGAATTCTCAGTATCTGATGGCAGTTCTCAAAACATTCTCTTTTTATTTGAAGCAGGAAAAATAATGTTTAGGATTGTATCTAAATCAGACTTTGTCAGAGTCTGCTCTATTACAGTCTTCATCTGATCTATTACAAATAAGGCGAACATGATGTCATAGAGTTGCTTCATATCCTGAATTGGATGGTATCAATTGTTAAGTATGAATCTAATCATTGGGCTGGATCCTTCCTAGATTATTTGTTTTTAGGCTTGAAAATAGATCCATGCATTTAACCAGCCTGTAGTCTTGTTGGAAATAAAATTATCTAGGCATTTATCTCCCAGAGGATAGCTGTTACCTTGTGGCATTCGGTTTCTTTGGCTTTTCTATTTATTAACCTCTAATCTTGTTCTTTCAGAAATAATTTTTAAAATCTCATAAGGCCATCTAAGTCACTGGCAACTGTAGCATGAGAAAAGTTAATACTTTAGTATTTCTGGAATACTTTTTAAAAAATTGCTTTATCATTTTATGTTCTGCTAATTATTAGTTCAACAAGAGGATACCATTAGAATGAAGAGGCTGCTGTAACCTTCTCTTGCTTCTGTTAAGCAGTCTATGCGTAAGGAAGCAACTGTTGTCAGGCATTAGGTGCCAAGAACAGAGGAATGTGTGAAGGTTAATCTTCTAAATTGTATTAAGGTTACTTAGGAATAATTAGCTCTGAAGAAGCTATGCATATTTTCCACTCCTAGGATGTTTCATAAAGTATTGATGACTTAGAAAAACAGGAAAACATTTACTTACTTTCCTTTAGTATTTCTAAATCTAAGCAGAAGTGAAATCCCTACAGACCTTATCAGGAAAAATATAAGCATCCAATAGAGTATTATAAAAAAACCACAAGATGTTTTTTTTACAACCACAAATCATTTGTACTTGTTTTTCAGCATTGGCATTATTTTTCAAGTTCATATGGAAGCCTGAAAATGGTTGGGCTCCTTAAGTGAATAGTTGAGAGGTGCTAAAGCACTTCTTCCAAATAATTTTCAAGTGTGAAGAGCTTTTCTGCTTTTATTTTTGTTCCTGCTCCCCTGATTTTTTTTTTTTTTTGGTATGTCTTGTATTAAGAAATTTAAATTGCAAATTACCTCAAGTGCCTTGGCAGAAAGGAGTAGCGGTAATTAAGTTTTAATACTGAAAACTCATGTGCATGTATTTTATTTACTCAATTTATATTCCATCTCTCTTACATCACGGAACTGAAGCTGTTGTCCCTGTCTAAGCATGCTTGGTTTGCTTCAGTAAGACTGCAGTTCTGTAATGCATCTGAATATATTATGTAATCTTTGAAATGACCCTTTTAGGTTGGAAAAAAATCCTTCCAAAGAATGCTTGTAAGTGAACAAAAGCCACGCAATAACTGCAGGGACATCAGTAACACAAATGAACAAAATACACCGTATTAAACGTATTTCAAACTTTTAACAAATGTTCTTAAAATAAGCTTTTTGTAATAGTATCTAAGTATGTTCACATTTGGAAAATCATATCTATAATCTCTCTTGTTTGACAGGAGAATTATTAAAAACTGCGTAATACAACATGATCATGACAAAAAGACCCTGATGAACTGGAATTCCTGTCTTCCACAATAGTTATGTTTTCTAGATACATTCTTGATTATCAATTTTCCCTTCCTTCTGAATGAGTATTCTTTAATACTAGGACATATTACTGCAAAATCGATAAGATAGCTAAATCAAATGGAAGATATTTCCACTCTCTTCTCTTGATCCAAAGAAAGCAACATAATGGTAATGCTTCTTCAAGGGAAAGAGAACACGAATACATTCCCAAACAAAAAATATACATACTTCTGGTGTTCTGACACAAATCTGATTCTGGTCTTTTTGCTGATCTAACAATGAATATCCTTGATCAGTTGTGATGATTGGAGACTGTAAATAAATTTGAGTTTTCTAATATGGCAATAAAATAATGTATTGAGTAAAAAAAGTGAAACCAGACAATAGTACCATAATCACCAGTGAAAAATTGTTGTTTGAGTTGAACATTTTTAGAGTTGAGGTACATTTAAATACAATAAAGTTCTGGAATATTTACATGACTACTTGTATGACATTACAAAGAATGAGCACAGTGAAATAGCCCCAATGAGATTTCTGAAACCTTCCTAATTAAATCTTTTCCCAACTGCCTGTTATATGAATACTTGACTCATATTGACCTAACTGGGTCCATGATAGATTAGGATTATACAAAATCTCTAATGTTTATGTTAGCATATTTAGTAATATTATGTTCATATTGAGACTTCCAAATGTGGGAGACAGATTCCCATTTCCCTACTTTTCATCTCTAGTTTCAAAAATGTTGTGGAACAAAGAAATACAAAACTCATTAAGGATTTAAAGGTCTGTACTAATACTTCAAAACATTCCAGCAGATATTGCAGGATTTGGATATTATTTGGGGGAATCATCTTCCCAAAGTGTCCTCGTAAAAAATACAAGCACAACCACTTCAGAGGGAAGACAGCTTGTGCAGAATCAAATAAAGGTATAAAGTTTTCTCCACCTCTTTATCAAACAGTGATAGTTCTTCAGCTTTAACACTTGCCATAACTGCTGTTATTAAAATCCTTGCTTGAACACCATCACCTCTTACTGGGACTACTGCAGTATAATTTCTTATAGTATTTCTACCTTCTCCATCTCTCCTCCCCCACCATTTTTATTGCTAAACTCCCCATCCTGATCACGTAAACGTTCAATCCTATTCCATTTCATATCACCTTCAGGATCACAGTTTTTATTTCAAAAGTTTTGCAATTCTCTGGCTGGAGCAAGAGAGCAACCACTTGCTGGTCATCTATTTTTCTGCACTGTTACAATGCCATTGCTCAGGAAATGGTCCCAGTTTTAGCCTCTGCTTCTTCCGATTAAATGGAATCTAGGGGCCAAAACTGGGAAAATGGCCACCAGTGAAAGCAGGCTGCCAAGGTGGACTCTTGATCTGAAGCTATAATTCAACTTACACTTCAAAAGAGCCATTGTCAACAAGGATATCCTGTCTGTCACTTCCTTTGGTGCCACTTCTCTCTCTGAGCAACTGTACCCTGCCTTGATGAGGCAGACATCACATTAACTCTTTAACATTGTCATCACATTAATGACATTAACTCTTGCTTCACTACTTTTATCAAAGACTTTTGGACAAGGATTGGCTCAGTTCCAGAACTAACTAGGCTGCTGATTAATAGGCAGACATCTCTGCTTTCTCTTGGGAAAGGCTCACCTGGCAAAGTTTTGTTTATGTGATGTCTGAGTGAGTGCTTCATATAAGACAAAGATAAATATTTATTTACCCCCCCCATGCTTCATTCCAGCTTATAAACATTAAAAGATACCTCCTATAGTTATCACCCTCAAAATAATACTAGACAATCTTAGTGAATACATTTTGTATTAAAATGTATTGAAGTATTTCACATTAAAATGTATTGAAGCAACAGTCTTCTGTATATTACCATAACAGGCAACTCCACCTCTTCCTGCATAGCATCTAATTCACTAAATTAATATGCAAATATTTTATTGCTGAATAGTACCAGGAAAAAAATCCTTAAACCCATTTACTGCGTTTGATAACTTTTTCTTTTGATAAGAATTACAAATAGGGTTTCATGATTCCTTCTTAAAAGACAGCTTGGATTTTGTACCGGATTTACATATGAGCAGGTGTCAGCAACTTAGGTTATAGCTTATGCTGGTTTACAAAGCTAGGTATTCTTGCTTCTATAAAATTACAAATTTCTGTTCAGTGCATAAAAATTCAGTGCAACTAACTTTGTTATTACTATATAGCCAATAAATATGACTTAGTACAGTTCTTCAATAGCAATTTTAAACATCTGTTTTTGTCCAAAAAAAGAAATTTAAAACTGCATTTTTCTGTATAGCTTTCCAATTTTCCAGTCAAGACTTTTTTTGTTCCCCTACCATAAGGATGCATAATCAAGCATACAGATTTTTCCAAATATTTGTAAACTTAAAATACAAAAATAATTACATTTCCTCCTTAGTTTCCAGTGATCCACAACAAAATACAAAGTACCAGAATACCAAAATACACGTTAATTCT